CGACAGAACTTTCTCTAACTACTATTATTATTAATTATTCTATTTCTTTTCCATTACAATAATAGCATTATTTCTATACTATTGTTATAATGTATACACATAATTTCATTAATATGTTATTCTTTCTTTATACTACGAACAACAGAGAAAATTCCAATTGTACGATCCAATCTTACGACAGAATCTTTTCACGCAAAATAAAATATCTAGAATTAATTTTTACTTGAAATAAAATATTTAGAATTTTATTTCTCATCGAGACTATATAACAAAATCTCTGCAATTTAATTGTCATAATCTACCACCAAAATAGTGGATCAGTCAGTGGATTTTCATCTCTCTGCTCTCTCTTTCGGCGGAATAATTCACGACAGGGTCGATAGTCGAAAGGGCTGTTCCATCGACTGACCAATTCGCAATTTTTTCCCCCTCGGGTTTGGCCCATTGTTTCAGACAATGCTTGAACCTGTTCCCGGGCGCACCCTCGAAAAATTACGACTTGACACAATTGCGGTAATCACAGGGAATTTTACAGACAATGCGCGACAGCGACGAGAACACGGTCGGGTAATTACCCTCCTTCGAACTCTGTGGATCGAACACTCCGTTGATTCCGTTCGCTGCAATTGTTGTTTTCCCTGTTTTCACTCGAATTTTCTAATGCCTCGCTTCTTCAGTACTTTAATCTTGGTTATGATTTTTACGTCAGTATTCATGTTGGGCAATAAATATGTAATGTAAATAAATAAATGTTATCCATATCATGTCTGTAAGTTCACTCGCATACATATTTTTATATTAATCACGTGAATATCATTAATTTCCATACAAAGTCTCTTCAATGGGAGGAGTAATTTATTTATTATTTTGTCTTTTCCGTGAATTCTTTTTTATCAAATCACTCGTATCTTTATATTGTTTGAATAATTTTTGCAATTAATTCTTCGTTATAGTAATATCGGATGATCGTTTCTTGGCAAACTCAATTTGTTGAAATTACTCTGAATTTGTTCTGTTCTTAGTCAAATTTTGCAGTATCTTGCAATATCTTGCAATATCTTGCAATATCTTGCTGTTTTAAACTTTAATCGTACAATTAAAATGGCGGTTGATATGTCATTTTCGTCTTAGTATTTATAATTAATAAAGGAAGAGATATTTTAAGTTTAATTCGTGTCATTTGTCGAAATTGCTCTGTATTTCATTTTTTAGTTGTATTTTACAATATTTTTTGCTTTAAATTTGTTACTTTATCTTATGGCTGATAAAGTAGATTTTGAGATTCAGATTCAAGGTAAATGTCGAATTTTCTCGAAAATACTCCAATATTTTTTATTCTTTATTTTAACTCTTAAAAGTTGTCGTAAAAGAATCAACTCGACGGTACTATAATATGGGTTTAATATGGCTTTTAATTTTGGAATTTTTAATTTGATTCAATGTCATTATCAATTTTTACCAGAGAGTATTACATAAAATGTAATAAAAAATTAAATATCTGAAACTTTCGTAATACAAATTCTTATAGTTATCGCTCAATGGCGAAGCATTCGTAATTTCGATTGAAAAGGAAAAAGATAAGAAAATTCCAGATAACAGTCAACGTGAATAATTATATTTCTAAAACATATCGAATCATCTCAGGCGTAACGTGTGTAAATCACAAAAATGCGAAATCTGGTTTCGGCGCGTTGATAATAAATAATACAAACACGTGTCTAACCTTGGACAATATTTAAAAATATCCCACTCTCCTCAGCTCGAAAAGTACTCCCATTTGGTCGGTCGATGCAAATTTCCGTCGACATGGTATCTCGATGGAAATTGAACATCACGCGTGAAAGTGAGAAATATTCAATTCGCAGAGTGAATTCCTTTCTACGATCAACTTGTTCAAGAAATCGTTCGAAAGAATTCGTTCAGGAAACAAAAATTATACACTCGATACATAAAGTGATACGTAAAATATAAATATTACATAGAATATAATAAATATTATACATTATAAAAATATTTTATAAATATTTTAAATATATACTCGAGACGTAAAAAGATACGTAAAATATGCTATTATCAAAAACAACATCGATCGTGATTTTTCCTTTAATTCAAGGTAGTTTCAACTATCAAGGGAGGTTGAACCTCCCTCGCGCACGAGCCCGATATTTGACAGTTTTTCACGAGTGAATGGATACACCTGGATCGGCACAGCAACGTGCCGTTGCTTCATTGATGTTGAAACCTGTCCTGCCAATCTCTCTGCCAAGTTTCACACTGGGGGAGAACAATCGAAATAACCGCGATAGGTGAATAACCCCCCCTCGATATTGGCAGAGGTTGGCCCGGTGTCAGTTGTGCCGCATTCCAAGGTGTATCACGGCTATTTAAATCCGAACACTTGCCTCGGTCCACTTCTCTCGGTCCTCTGTCCCTCGAATCGATAAACATCCACGAGAGAGAGAGAGAGA